CTGAGGGGGTGACAGAGGGTCCTGAGTGGGGGGACAGGGGGCACAGAGGGGTCCTGAGGGGCTGGAGTGGCCACACAGGGGTCACTCAGGGGTGTGGGAGGGGTCACTCAGGGTGTGGGAGGGGTCACTCAGGGTGTGGAGTGGCCATGCAGGGGTCACTCAGGGCTCATCCTGGCCGTTCTGAAGGCCGTTGTCCCCAGTGTGTCCCTGTCCCCAATTTGTCCCCCCCAATCACCAACCAATGGTTCATCCCAACCATGTCAGGGGACATCCAATGGTGTCATTGTCCCCAATGTGCCCCCAATGTGTCCCCACAGCCACCAACCAATGGTTCATCCCAGGGGTTTATTTTGTGTCCCTGTCCCAAAATGTCCCCAAAGGGTCCCCAATGTGTCCCCACAGCCACCAACCAATGGTTCATCCCCGCTGTCCACGGTGACATCCCCAGTGTGTCACTGTCCCTTTCTGTCACCACAGCCACCAACTAATGGTTCATCCCTGCTGTCCATGGTGACATCCCAGTGTGTCCCTGTCCCCAGTGTGTCCCCAATCTGTCCCCAACATGTCCCTTTCTGTCCCCACAGCCACCAACCAGTGGTTCATCCCCGCTGTCTGTGGTGGCATCCAATGGTGTCATTGTCTCTAATCTGTCCCCAATGTGTCCCCACAGCCACCAACCAGTGGTTCATCCTCGCTGTTCACGAGGTGACATCCTCAGGATGTCACTGTCCTTAATCTGTCCCTTCCTGTCCCCACAGCCACCAACCAGTGGTTCATCCCTGCTGTCCGTGGTGACATCCCAGTGTGTCCCTGTCCCCAGTGTGTCCCCAATCTGTCCCCAACACGTCTCTTTGTGTCCCCACAGCCACCAACCAGTGGTTCATCCCCACTGTCCACGGTGACATCCCAGTGTGTCATTGTCCCCAATGTGTCCCCAGTGTGTCACTGTCCCTAATCTGTCCCTTTCTGTCCTCACAGCCACCAACCAGTGGTTTATCCCTGCTGTCTGTGGTGATATCCCTGTGTGTCACTGTCCCTAATCTGTCCCTTTCTGTCCCCAATGTGTCCCCAGCTTGTCACTGTCTCCAATGTGTCCCTAATCTGTCCCCAATGTGTCCCCACAGCCACCAACCAATGGTTCATCCCCGCTGTTCACGGTGACATCCCCAGTGTGTCACTGTCCCTAATCTGTCCCTTTCTGTCCCCACAGCCACCAACCAATGGTTCATCCCCGCTGTGAGGGGTGACATCCAATGGTGTCCCTGTCCCTAATCTGTCCCCAGTGTGTCCCCAATGTGTCCCTGTCCCCAGTGTGTCACTGTCCCCAATGTGTCCCTAATCTGTCCCTTTCTGTCCCCACAGCCACCAGCCAATGGTTCATTCCTGCTGTCCACGGTGACATCCTAGTGTGTCATTGTCCCCAATGTGTCCCCAGTGTGTCCCCGGTGTGTCCCTGTCCCTAATCTGTCCCCAATCTGTCCCTTTCTGTCCCCACAGCCACCAACCAATGGTTCATCCCCGCTGTTCGCGGTGACATCCAATGGTGTCACTGTCCCTAATCTGTCCCTTTCTGTCCCCAATGTGTCCCCACAGCCACCAACCAATGGTTCATCCCCGCTGTGAGGGGTGACATCCCCCCGGGCTGTGCCGCCTACGGTTTTGTGTGTGATGGGACGCGGCTCTTGGTGTTTGGGGGAATGGTGGAGTACGGCAAATACAGCAACGACCTCTACGAGCTGCAGGTGAGCCCCGAAAACACCCCTGGGGTGGTGAAAAACACCCTGAAACAAACCAAAACAGCCCTGGGGTGGTGAAAAACACACTGAAACACCCCAAAACACCCCTGGGGTGGTGAAAAACACCCAAAACCACCCCTGGGGTGGTGAAAAACACACTGAAACAAACCAAAACAGCCCTGGGGTGGTGAAAAACACACTGAAACACATGAAAACACCCCTGGGGTGGGGAAAAACACCCAAAAACACACCAAAACACTCCTGGGGTGGTGAAAAACACCCAAAAACACACCAAAACACCCCTGGGGTGGTGAAAAACACCCAAAACACCCCTGGGGTGGTGAAAAACACACTGAAACACATGAAAACACCCCTGAGGTGGTGAAAAACACACTTGAAGACACCAAAAGACCCCTGGGGTGGTTAAAAACACCCCTGGGGCGGGGAAAAACACACTGAAACACCCTAAAACACACCAAAACACAACTGGGATAGCCAAAAACATCCTGAAACACTCCTGGGGTGGTGAAAAACACACTGAAACACAACAAAACATACCAGGATTGGCTAAAAACGCCCCAAAACACACCAAAACACAGCTGGGATGGTCAAAAACACTCCGTAACACACCAAAACACACTGGGATGGCTTAAAACAGCCCAAAATGATACCTGGGGTGGTTAAAAACACCCCAAAATACACCTGGGATGGTCAAAAACACACCTGGGGTGGTTAAAAAGACCCAAAACCACACCTGGATGGCTAAAAACACCAAAAAATGGCCCAAAACACGCACCAAAACACACCTGGGATGGTTAAAAACACCCCAAAACACGCCTGGGGTAGTTAAAAACACCCAAAAACACAGCTGGGATGGCCAAAAACAACCAAAACCACCAGAACACACCGGGGATGGCTAAAAACACGCAAAACACGCCTGGGACAGCCCTGACACATCTGGGGACATCTGGGAACCACCAAACGCACATGGGG